GTGCAATCCTGATGTCGTGATCAGGTCATTTCACTGGAGGCGCCACAGTGCGGCTCGCGAACGGCGGACATCCACTGAGACGGCGCGGGTTGTAAGCAGGTGGCAGGCAGGAGGAGCCCCGAGGAGAGCGGCCAGGAGAGGGCGCAGTCATGGATCGACTGGCGACCCGACAGCAACGCCGTGGCATACCCAGGATCAGCAAGCAGCATGAAGCGAGGAGGGTGACCTGAGGAGAGCGGCAGCCAGTCGTCAGTCGCATTGATCAATCATGCATGTCCTGAATGTCTCTCCGTCTCCCATGACGGGAAAAAATCGATCGACGCAGGACTCGAACCTGCAATCTTCCGCAGTCTGTGGTTCGTGCCAAGACCGGAAACGGACGCCTTACCATTAGGCCAGCCGACCCAACCGAGTTGGGGGAGGAGCAGACTAAGCCGGCTCATATCGCTTGTGCATGCGACTGCCGACTGCCGAGCGCGGCTTCGATATACTATAACCGACCGAGTCGTCGTTGCATTGGGGCTGCACGGCTTCGTGTCTGTGATGGCACCTCTTGGACTGCTCCGATGGACACTGCGTTTGGCTAGAATCGCGCTCTACTTGTGATTGAGAGAGTGTGTCTGACCAGGAACAGCCTCAGCTCCTGCGGTGGCCGTGTCGAGCCCGCGCGAGCCGCTACATTGAGACAGAGCTCCGCTACGCCGGGACCAGCAGCATTGTTACTGTTGCGCCTGTGACTGACAGCGCTGATAGGGGGAGGGTTGGTCTGGTCTGACACCATAGCGAGACCAAGTACTTGGAAGGGATGTCGCGGATCCGCCCAGATCAGACGCGCGATGAAGTGCTGTGCCGTCACGCCTCCTTCACGCTGCCTGCAGCGATATCCCCGAGCACCACTGTCTGGCCGAGGACGCGCACCGCTGACATGGCACTAGCCGCCGCTGCCCTCTCCATCAGAGAAAAGCAGTCTGTCTATGCGTGCTCAGCACGGCAGCCGCGTCGGCCACGGCGTGGTCGAGTCCCGGAGTACCCTGCGAGCTGAGCAGGGCAGGGCAGCCGGCGCCTCCCACAGGGTCCTTCCCTCGACGCCTGCGCGATAGCCCTGAGCGGCTGTGCCGACGCGCTGGACATTGGTGAGGAACGACGGCGTGGTCTGCGATATATAGGCAACTCCGGCTGGGCAAGAGCAGACGCAGCGCAGCGGCGGAATGAGCTGTCATCCTCGCCGTCGCCGTCGTCGTCGCTGTCGCCGTCTCACCGGCGCGGGTGGACCCTGCTGAAGACCATGGACTGCTTTTGTGACGACTGCGCCGCTGCCCCTGCCCCTGACTCCAGCCCCTCGTCGGCCGTGTCCACGCCGCGCACCTCCATCTGCTCCTGCTCCGACTCGGGTTCAGACGTGGACGTGGACGTGGACGTGAACGGCGCCACCAAGCGCTGCGACCACCATGCCTACGACAGGGCAGCACGCGACACGCTGGACGACTCCCCCACACTCGTCGACGTGCTGATCATCGGCGCAGGCCCGTGCGGGCTCGCCGTCGCCGCGCGCCTGCGGGAGGAGACGCCCAGCGCCTTGTTCACCGACGACGAGCACCAGCGATACCACTGGATCAAGAGGCACGCAGGCAAGATGAAGATCGTGCAGGCGCGGCGCAAGATCCGCGGCGTCAAGGCCGAGAAGTACGTCAACCCGAGCAGTAGCAATGCCGCCATGGCTGGCGACGCTGGCCGGGACCCTGACACAAGCAGAGGCAGCTCGTACAGGCCAGCCAACCAGGACAAGTCGATCCTCGTGCTGGACTGCGAGGGCGGCGGGTGGCTGGCGCGCTGGGACCGGCTGTTCAGCACCTACGAGATCTCGCACCTGCGCAGCCCCATGTTCTTCCACGTCGATCCGCGCGACAGGGACGGCATGCTGGCCTACGCGCGCGAGACGGGCCGCGAGCGCGAGCTGTGGGAGCTGCACGGCTGCGTCGGGCAGGAGCTGAGCAAGCACCGGAGGAAGAAGAAGCGGCTGCAAAGGCGCGTGGGGGGGCAGCGGGGACAGCAGCGGTGCGTCCTCCTCGTTCTCACTCAGAATCGTGCAGTAGCCGACCCTAACCGGCGTGACATTTTGCAGCCCCCACGAGGTTGAGATCGATGAGCGCGACCGCAAGGACTACTACTGCCCTCCCACCTCCCTGTTCCGCGACTACTGCGCCAGCGTCGTCGGCCGGTACCGCCTGGACTCCGACACGCTGGTCCAGCAAGCGCAGGTGACCGACCTGGCGTACGGCGTCGTCCCCGAGAGCGGCGAGCCGGACCGCAAGGTGTTCACGGCGCGCACCGCCGACGGGCGCACGGTGTACGCGCACGCGGTTGTCTGCGCGGTCGGGCCGGGCCTGCGCAAGAACCTGCCGTGGCGGCTGAGCGCGGCCGAGGCGCGGGGCGCGGTGCACAGCTCCGAGATCGCGCGCGGCGAGGCGTTCCTCCCGCCGCACGTGCGCGAGCGGGTCCGGTGCGGCCGCGAGACGGACGTCGTCGTCGTGGGCGGCGGCCTGACCAGCGCGCAGATCGCCGATAACCTCGTCAGGAGGGGCGTGACGCGGGTGTGGCTGCTCATGCGGGGGCCCCTGAAAGGTGGGTCGCCCTTTGTACTCTACCCCTGAAACGAGTCTGGCATCAGAACGTCGCCGACTCAAGGGCAGCAGAAGTCGGGATACAGTAGATGCTGACACGCTCTCCGACCTTCAACAGTCAAGCACTTCGACATGTCGCTAGAGTGGGTGGGCAAGTTCCGCAACTACGAGAAGGCGGTCTTCTGGTCCGCGGACACGGTCGAGGAGAAGGCACAGATGTTCCACGCCGCGCGGCAGGGCGGCAGCATCAACCCCAAGCTGCACGCGGAGCTGCGGCGCCACGCCGCGGCGGGCCGCGTGCGGCTCTGCACCCACACGCAGGTGAGCGCGCACGCGTTCGACACGCAGGCCATGGCCTGGGCGCTGCGGACGGAGCCGCCCGTGCCCGGCTTCCCCGACGCCGTGGACTACATCTACTTCGCGACGGGGATGGACGGCCGCCTGGACCGCGTCGGGTTCCTGCAGACGATGCTGCGCACGCACCCCGCGCCCGCGACGCCGTGCGGGTTCCCGCACCTCACGACCGACCTGGAGTATCTGCCGGGCGTGCCGCTGTACTTCACGGGCCGGCTGGCGTCGATGCACCTGGGTCCGGGCGGGCCGAACCTCGAGGGCGCCAGGGCGGGCGCTGAGAGGATCGCGTGGGCGCTGGAGCAGCACGGGTTGCTCTGCCAGACTTCCGCCTCACGGACCAGGATACCGCGGCTTGCACCACCACAGTACCACGAGCG